TAAAATACCAGGTACATGTATTTTCAGAATTCTATGGCTGTTTTGAATATTTGAGTATTGGACTGCTTGTTATTTGTAAGTTAATTTTTTAATTATAATGCCCTTCTACTAACACACGATCTTCAGTTGTCTCTAAATTGTGTACAGTGTTTTAAAATGGGTGGACGCTCTGCTCAGTTATCTATTTCAGGATTGTCACAAATGATCCATTTTTGTTCGTATGTATAACACGTGTTTATAAATAAGGCACAGATAGGAGCTTTGTGTCATGTCAAACGTAAAATCCACTCTTGCCCAAATAAAGATTCTTGTAGGTTTACTTACGTTTTGATGTCGCATGATTGATGGGTCCCGTTCTGAGTGGTTTGAGGTAAAGTAGGAAGTGTGCATTTGACCATTTTGAGAAATTGCATTTGAACTAATTTTGTTTGATATATTTCCAGCATCCATTCAAATGCAAGAGGAAATGGTAAAAACATAAGCATTAAAAATAAAACATTTTGAGAAATAAAAACTTGACAGAATGTGCCTACCCATATAATTATTGAACTTCCTCCCGACGTGAAAGGAGCTCTATCAATGCAATGTGTTGTTCTTGGTTGTGTTGAAGGCCTATCCAACTAAAAGGTTACCAAATACGCCGTTAATTGCGAAGAAATGCAAAAGCAGCGAAAGGCAAACCGATAATCAACTCTCGTTTCAAACAAAAGCTGAATTAACAACTTCCTTGATTATTCTGAATCCAGCAATAATATTGTTTGTATTGCTAAGACAGTTTAATGGTGAACTTGCGTATGTTTTATCTGTAATCAAAGTGAAATTAGTAACGCATTGTATATCGGAAAGTTGAAGAACTCTAGGGCTAGTCAGATATAAAAGATTACTTTCCCTTTTATATTATTAGTCTGGTATCATTGGTTAGACGACTACGCTGATGCTTCAATAAGCTTTCACGAATTAAATGTAGCCTTAGACTAACCCTTCCTGAAAATAAAGGTGCACGTGCTTTCAGATTCCGAACATTTCAATTAAATAACATAACAAATAAATATTATACGAAAGTTGTAAATATATTCTAAGCACTTAATGGATCTGTTGTATTTGGCTGTGAAGTCAAAAGCAATTATTATTTGTGATGAATTGCCTTGAAACTTAATTTTTATTTCTTGATAATCGACTAATTGGAGAGGGACTGTAATATCGCTGCGGCATTGATGTCCCAGAAACATATAGGTCTTTCTTAAATTCAGAATCAGACAAAAATAATTATATAAAGGGAAAATTAGTTGTAAAATTACTTAAATCATACAAATGGTTTTAAGACACTTATACTATTAAAGATTGATACAAATCGATTGTTCTAAATGCAAGAAGATGTTTAACTTTACGGCTGAATTTAAAATGTTTTATATATTTCCATCCATCTTTAGTACAAGGGAGTCAGTTTTCTCTCTCTCTGTTTAAAATATCCTATTTTAGTCCATTTAGTCTCCGACACATTTTAACAAATCCTGTATAATGCATGTTGAGATGAAAAACAAACCTCCAGGCTGTTCAGAGTTTTTATGGTAACTACCCATTCTAATATAATTGTTCAGTTTTTCTTATTTTATAGATTTAGATGCACATAATCTCATCATGTAAACTGATATATAGAGTGAAAACTAGGAGTCTCCCAATTACTAGCTACACTTGAGGGGTGAACCTCAATGCCTATTTGTTGCAAAAAATATTCTTAGAAGTAAATTATGAAACACATTTAAACTAATATATTTTTAAACTATTTAAAGGTACCTTTAATAAATTACAACGTTTATTTATTGAAAGCAAAGCCTGATGCATTTATTTGAATATACGTATTCTCTGTGAGCCTAAATCATAATGATATTTCACGTTAATGATCTATGTGATGTTGTTCAAACATGTATTGGTTTTTTAAACATACAAAATTAAAGACCAAAAGTCAATATTATATTAAGGAAGAATGGTAAATTCACTTTTACACGCTATGGATGTCGACACAGCCCTAACTGTGTTTACCTTCTCCATTTTCAAAAAAAAGACCAAAAACGCTGGATACATTTTAATTAAATTCAGCATGGTTACAGTCAACACGTATTTCAAAAAAATGTTACACCAAATTATTGGCAATAAATCTACACTATTCTTTGTAGTTTAGAAGATCATTATAATTATCACCTCCATCATTATTGAACTCATTATTCTTCAGTTGCTAACGTATTACTGTGTATCTCACATTTGGGATTATAATAGTAAACAGTGCAATATAAATTACTTTAATTACTTTGATAAATTATGGCCATTTTACAATCCAAATACAATCTTTAATTACTTTTGTTACACATGTGAAAAATCCTATCAGGGCACAAATTTGCTAAAAAAATAAATAAAAACAGAAACTCAATTGAGCTCTTGAATTTAGAGCTATGGCTCGCAATTATTGAATTATCTAAGCATGTGTTTGTGCAGCAGTCAGCAT